CTTAATAAATTCAACCAGGTTTTTGGAGATATGTAGGTTATACCATCATAGAAAGCATAGCTAGCCTTAACATAGATGTGATTAACTGGGCCAGAGGGGGCGTGTCATGTTCTCATTTTCAATTATGTTTTACTTATTGTACTGCATTACAATATATAATCAAAAATGTTCTTTTAATTGAAAGAAATAAAACTAAAGTTATTTGAATTCTAAACATTCTCTGCCTTATATGGAACCAGATAGCCCTTTAGAGAAGAGGCTAGCATTTTTATATATTCAACAACTCTAACAAAGATTTACTCTATAACAGATACCTGGGCAGGCTCTGGCATTATAATAGCAATAGAATGAAAAGTTCACTCATTGACTTTGTAATCTAGTATAACAGCAGAGATCTACAATAATCAAAGAATCATATACCTACATGTAAATTTGCATCCATGAAAGGTGCTATGATATAAAGTACTTGGAATTGATCTAGAATTCATGAGTTCCTAACTCTCTTAAATTGGATTAAATCCATTGATCCAGTAATTCTACATTTAGGAATTTATCTTACATATATTAGTATGCTATCTCATTTTCTTAAAGATAGGTTATGGAGTTGTATTGTTTGTGAGTTTGTAAGAAATTTTAACTGTTCAATGATAGGAGACTACTCTATTAAATTATGCAATAACTATATAGTAGAAATACTTGTGTCATTAAAATATAGTAGACAATAAAATGAGATCTTTTAAATATATATTACATGAAAAACATATTTCAAAACAACATGAATACATGACAGGTTAATACCACTTATATTAAAAGGAAGAAAAGGAGTGTATAGGTATTTATACATATAGTCTGGAACAAATTATCTTTCTCTGAAGAATGGGAGGAGCTATTTTACTTTCACTTTTAATTTTTAGCATTCTGTATTATGTTTTTTATTTGTACATGTGTGATGATGGTTGTTTTATTTACAAGGGCACCTATAGTTTATTAATTATGTACAATTTTGGATACTTAATGGTCATTTAATGGGCTTCATTACATGACCATTACAGAATCAAAATGTTCAGTGACGGAATCCTAATAATTTGTAATTTACACCATCACTATGGGGACAAAAATTACTGTACTACCTAGAGTTCCTTAGATGAATCTAGCAACCAGATTGAGAACCTCTAGTCTAAATATCAACTTCAGGAAAAATTTTTACATTGAAGTTCATATCCTTATTAGGAACCAAAATAGTTCCACAAGTTTTATAACTATTCAGAAAACAAAATGTACACCATGATAAAAATATTAGTAGTTATGCCAATTGCTGATGTCATAGTCCTTTCCAGAATCTACAGAAACCCGCAAATGACATTTGAAGACAAAACAAGGTTTTTGTTCTTCTGCTAGAAACGTTTACTTCAAATACATCATCCTTCAAGCAGCTAATTGTACAGTATTACTAGGGCTCTACCAGTCTTAATTTATAACGAACCAAGGATTTGAAGTAGAAAAACTGAGAATTAACTATTTCATATAAAAACCTCAGTGCTTTTCATATTATTACTAATTTCTCATGAAAATCCTTTAGTTGAAATAAACCTCAGGGTTCATGGTACCCTCCATCTCTAATCATGTTTCCCCACCTTAGAACGTGAATAAAACAGCATTTGAAGTAAGAGCATATGGCTGCTTGAAATAACCAAAATAATTATCTATTTAATTCTAGATCCACCCATTACTAGCTGTATGACATTAAGTTACATAAGTTTGTAGCATCTCAATTTACTCATCTGCAAAATGACAATAATGGGATTAAATTCACAGTGGTGTTGTAAGAAGTAAAAGAATAAAACAGATAAACTGCTTGAAAATCCCTGGTCTATAGTAGTAATCAGTAATAAGCTTTTATCTCTAATCATACTTCTGAACTCTCAAAAAGACATAAAGTCATAGTCTTAACACTTAAGGCCACAGCTTGGATTTGCCTTTGACTTCGAAGCTTTTATCTTTTACTTAGTATCCTACGTCCCTTGATTATCTCAGTACCATCTCTGGATAAAGCATTGGTAGGCACAGGGCATATGAAAGGATGAAAAAGATAAGACATCTTTCCTCTTGATTAGAGTTAAGTAAAAAAATAAGAAATGTGCATAAATTATCATTACATTGGTAGAAAGCCATGCCATCAGAGGCAGGTATATGGGAATTCAGTGGACACAACAGTTCATTCCAGTTGATAGGTGGTGCAGGGCTGGAGGTGGGAATCAAATAGTAACCACCATGGTATGGAGTTCAGGCCAGCTACACAAAAGGTACCACTCAGCAGGTTCTGGCCAGAAGGGAAGACTATGACCTCATAGAGTTTCTGGCTACACACACTCCAAGTCTCTTTCCACACAGGCATGCTGTTCAGGGTGAAGTTTCTCAGAAACACCAGTGCCAGATATCTCTGTATATAAACATGGAGGACTTTAAAATTCCTCTGTACCAGGACCCTGCAGATAAAAGTTGAAATAAATAACTCAAATCTATGAGTTTAATTCCGTAAAGCTATGTCAGCATCCCGGCTGTTTACAGTGAGAGCTCCGTGGTCCATCTCTCCAGGTTAGTAGTGGAGAAAAGCAGCACTGCTACCAAATGGTGACTGATAGTCATGGAGAGAAAAATATGCTGACATTTATCCAAAGCCCAGCAAGCAGATGGCAGTGGGCACAAAATCTATCATGACAATTGGCACCTCATTGGGGTGCTCTGAGCAAGGAAGGGGACTGTAAAATGCCCGTTTTTGGCTGCCCTTCCATGAGGCATATTGGTGGCACAGGAGGGGACAACTGCCTGGCTGGTGTCAAGGGGAGAAGAGATGGCCTTTAAAATCTAGGCTATGGCAGCCTCCTGGGTAGTCAATCTGGTGCCTTTTGAGCATCCAGAGAGTGACTTAAAGGTGTGTATCGGACTTCCTCTAGGATAGATGATACCCAACAGATTCCATTCAAAGGTGGCTCACAGGATAACAAACAAAGCTCTGAGATAGAGGGCGTCTGCATTTTCTGTAGCCAGGCCTAGTATGTCAAGTAAATGGCACAATATTTTTACCTATTTTAGAATTCTTAAGTTGCTGGTATGTGGATAACCAGTGCATTTGTGTTTTCTAAGCATAAGTGCCAGTGGATGACTAGGGTTGATAGCTAGTTAAATGAGAAGGGTCATTACCAGCAACACTCTACTTTGCAGAGGTTTGATAATTTGACATTTTTTAAAAAGTGGATGAAGATCCATTTTTTCTGGATCATATAGTCTTGTTGTGTTTATACTATTGCCTAACATTTCAGATACCTTAACCAAGTGGCATTAACACATGTATAGATTGCATCACAATACACACACACACACACACACACACACACACACACATTGCTTAGTCTTAAGCCTTTGATTAACCCACAGAAGATAAAATACAATGCCAAACCGCTGGCCTATATCCAAAGAAACTGTCAGCTAAGTTTCAGCTAAGTTTTAGTAGTAAGAATACCTAACTTTTTAAGTCACTCTGAAATAAAATAGATATTATTCCAATAAGAACTTTATTTACACAAAATTTGACTACTTTGAATTTTCAAATAAGTTTTTAATATAGAACTCTACCCTCAAAAAAAGAAAAAAAACCCAGTCAATGCACCTAAGATCCCCTTGACTTATAGTGTTCTTTAAATAAATTACATAGAATGTGCAGTTTTATATAGACAGACTTTTAGGAAGGAGAACTCAAGTCGTTATTTCAATTGTCTTAGCACCTACAACAGTTTAACAATAAAGGTATCTGATTATTCAACAACCCACCCATATCAAACAGAAAATGGCCAGTTTTGAATAGTTTCTGATTGATCCCAACTGTGGTCAAGACAAGAAACCATAATCAGTTACTGGCTGCAGAAATTATTATATTATTTCATAATAGCAAGTAACATAAATATAAATATAAATATTACATAAATATATACCTTTATGAAATATTATGCTGAGTAAATATTTTAATTAAATATAATGCTATAATCAAGGAAAATATTATATATTATTTAATATATAATTCATTAAAATTGAGATATATAAAACTATCCCAAAGATATAAAATGATAAGCATGCAAACAAAATAAATGGTAAGGGATTAAAGTAAGTGAAGATGAATTTTGGTTGAGAAATTAAAAGTCAACATATTATTTATTTATATGCAGCTACTTTTCCCAAGAATATGATCTAAAAATTCCCCCCCCCCAAAAAAAAAAATACAATCAAGTAAAATTTTAGGTAAGGAATTCCTTTCATTTCCATAATGGGCAAGAGACTTCTGCTCTACTCTTTAGGATAAAACTTCTTGACTCTGCCACCTTACTGAGTAGTGGAGTGAACTGTGACTGCTCAGGCATGGCCTAGGGTTTTGGCCCTATTACACTCGCTCAGCTGCATCAGTGTGTAGGAAGGGAGGCTGTGGTCCTCCATGGGACTGGTTAAGGTTGGCTCTGCAGGCCCAGCTCTTCCTACTGGCAGCCCCCACAGTGTAGAGTTGATGGGCCAAGGAATGGTAAATAAGGTAGTCCCTCTTTCCTAATTATTTAAGATTACCTATACCTTTCTCCTCAACTGTAAACCCAATAGCACCAAGGAATAGACCCCAGGCTGCTCTTTTATTTAAATCATCCTTTCCTTGGTAACTGAGGCCACACAGCTGGTTAATAGGACATGGGGTTTATATATAATCCTGGCAGAGAAATATTGATCCGCAGAGTGCAGGGTTCATTTCAGGATGACCTGTTTTGAAACATTTTGATTTTAAATCATCAATCCCAACTTGTTGGGAGAGCTGTCTGAGTAAAATAAAATCCTTGCCAGAATAAACATGCACGTTCCTTGCAATAATTTTTTCTCCCCCAAATACACACAGGACATGCTCTAAAAAAGCCCCACCCAAGGTTAAAACACAATCAGCTCATAATGTATCATTTAAACATGAGTACCTCCAGCCAGGATCTTCTCTTCCAGTTCTGCCATTTGCTTCTTATAGGCTTTTAAAGCTGCTTCTTTGAAAGAGGGACGGATTCTCTTTGGCTTTGTGATTTCCACGGGCTGTTCAGGAATGTTTTGGTTTTCATCTTCTTTTATTTCCATTTCAGGTAACGTTTCATTTAAGGGTTCCAACCCTCCTTCACTAACCACATCATCTGCCTGCCCATCATATCCCTCATCCTGTGGGGTTTCATAAGGTGTTTCATAAGAAGAGTGATCATATTCCTGCATGGGCTCATCTGTTTCAGTAATACTAGTCCTGTTTTCTAGCTTAGCAAGAACTTGTTCTATCACTTCAACATAATCTGTTTCATTATCTGCCACTGGTTCACTATAGTCCTCCTCATCTTCTGCTTTGTAGTAATAAGGTTCTGTGTAAACATCAGAGTCCAGGGTGGTACTTGATTCATTTGCAGTTGATTGTGATAATGTCCGAAATCTCCCCATTAAGGAAGAGCCACTGTCCTCATACCCACTGAGGCTCTGTGTGCTTTTGTTCCACACCACCTCCAAGGCTGATTTAGCCCGCTGAAGTGTAGATCCAAATTTTGGGAAGCTGAAAGCCTTATCAGAAAGGTCAATGCTTAATCGACTATGCCAAGATTTGGGTGGGGCATCCTCTGAATCATCACTTTGCAATTCACTCTGACTTCGATACATGATGGACAACTGGCTTTGATTTTGGTACAAATCATTAGAATTGGCTTCCTGATAAGAATCATATTGGCCAACCCATTGGCCTTGTGGTTCATTATCCAACCCAGGGCATGGGGACGAGTTGTCATCTTGGGTTAAATCATAGCTCTCAGAGTCCTCCTGAAGGTCACTATGGCACTTCCCCGAGTCTTCTTGGTCTTTATTATAAACATCTAGTTGTTGATCAGAGAGACTGTTTGTGTCATAGTCAAAAGCTTCCTGAGTGGATGAATCCAAACCTAAATCAGCTCCTTGCTCTACTTGATTCCATTCCTTCCATGGCGAAAGATCCTCATGGAAAGAGAGCTGAGAATCACTGTAATGACTTTGGTCTCCAGATGCACATACCATGCCATTACTCATCCCACTATCCACAGTTTCTGTGTTCCCTTGGACACCCTGAACAGCCCCATCCAAAAGTAGGTCCTGGGGACTGTCATACAAGGTAGGCGTGCCCTCCTGTTTCCTTTGCCAAAGTTCCCGGTCTGAAGATGACAAGAGGGAGCTTCCGTTCGTTCTAGTGAAAAACTGATTTTCTGAAAAATCCTCAGAGTAAGATTGACACAATTTGGAAAAGTCTGATTCAGAACGGCTAAGCTTTGCAGTAAAAAAATCACTCTGTGAATGCCAGAGGGGTGTGGCATCTCCATAATGGGTTGTAGTTTGCTTTTCCAAGGTACCTGATTCTGGCAATTGTGAGGAAATTTTATTATAATCTGATTTATTTGAAATTTTGCTGCTACTGGCAGTTTTATTTTTGGCTCTAGCATTGTGTGATTTTGAACTTGACTTGGAAATACTTCCCTTTGTTGGAAACTCTGACTTGGAAAGCACAGCATAACTGTTTCTATTGAGGTCAGATTCCAGCTCTCCATCACTGTCATCTGGTAGCTGCCAATTATTCTTCTTGATTTGGGGCTCTGGAGTAGACAACTTTATATCCATGCTCTCATATGTCTGCGAAGATGGTATCCCTTTCTCTTTTCTTTCTCTGATGTCATGAGTAAGGATATCTGTTGAGATTCCGATACCTGTTCCTTTGAGTTTATATGATTTTTTTAAGACGGAATCCCTTTGCTTAGGAGTTTCAAAGTACACCAGTATGGGCCGCGGCTTTGCATTTGGGCAGTCCCTTTGGTGTCCTATTCTCTGAGCAAATTCAATTTTAATCGCATTTGGTGCATCTGAAAAACCCATTTTATCTACTAGAATTTGGTACACCACAAGTTCAACGTATTCAAATCTTTCTTCGGGCACATTTAAAAATCTCAGGCTTGCCTTGCTACCCATATGGCCTAAGTGCTTAATATAATCATGGATGTCTCTGGTTTCCCTCCGAGACTGGACGAACCCTGTACGTAGCTGTTCAATTTCACTTTGTACAACCTCCACACTGCTGGAGATCTCATCGATGGAATGCTTGAGGGCATTGACATGCCCTCGTAGCTCAGAAAGTTCTGTCTCAATCTGACTTATTCCCTGAAGTTCCTTAAAGATCATTTCCATGACATCATGTGTTTGACTAATACAGCCAGAGGAACTGAATCCTGGCTCCAGGGCATTTGTCTTTGGGTTTCGGGCAGTTCTGTCCAAAGATTTGCTTCTTATTCCCCAGGTTTTCTTCATGGTGCTCAACTCTGAATCTGAGGAGACACAGTCTTGACTCTTCTTCCATTTCCTCAGTTTACGTAAAGCTCCTAGTTTTAAGCTATGCAGAGTGCGTTCCCCGTCAGAGCTGCCCTCCGAAGGAGCCAGGCTGCTTGAACTCTTCCTATTGCGTTTAACCGGCATCATGAGTGTTGACTGTGGCTGGTTTTCTGCACTACTCCTTAGTTCATTGAGGGATTCTGAGTAGGAACTCTCAATGGAAGATAACTCTTGAAGCAGATCTTCATTATCACTGTTGGTTACATGAATATTTTTTTGTAGGCCATTGGCAATAGCTACTCGGTAACTGAATGTTGGTGAGAGGGAAAATTCTTTGTTAGCTTCGTCTTCTTCAGTGGATAAGTTGCGAGTGGATGAACACTTGGCAATCTTCTTTACGGTACTTTTCAAGGTATTAGAAAGTCTGGGGGTTTTGGTGTGGCCGGCAGCAGGAAAGTCTTGATCCCTTTTCTGCTCACGATTCTCTTTTTTTTTGTTTGTATTTCCCAATTTCTTTGTAAACATTCCTTTGCAAAGCTTATGTATGTAAGGTAAAATCAGGCTCTTGAAAAGATTAGCCACCATGGAGAGCAATTAGCGCAAGCTTCTCTATTCCAAAAACATAAACAAGGCGTCGGGATGAAAATCTGTAAACCCAAGGCAAGCATCACTATTCAGATGTTCTCTGCATCATTGAAAACAGCTGGAAGGGCAGCGGGCTCTGCCACAAGGTCAATGTCCTGTGAAAACCAGAACCAAAGTTCCATTTGTGAAAGACATTCTCTCTTGGAGGAGGGGTTTCATGAGTTGCTCTCATTTCCGCATGACTTCAAGTATTGTCTAAAAGAAAGCAATGAAAAAGTGAGTATCAGAAATTAATTCTAGACTTATCCCATTTCTAACATTTTTCAAAAGTATTCAAGATACATAATGTGTGAAAAATTGCAGAGGGAGCAGGGTAATATATTAATTTCAATACACCATTACTTTTAAAACAACTATAAAGCAAATAAGTAGCAGTATCTGTGTTTAAATTACATTTTTTTTCTAAATTATTTATGGGCAGACACAATTGAATGGTAATAAAAGATAATGATAATTTGCAAAGGTTTGTATAAGGCGACAAATTTAAAAGCTATATTAACTGCATATTATCATTTCCCCATTCTTTTATTTCCTAAATTGCATTTACTTAGAAACACATAAGCATTTAAATTTAAATGTATGTCCCCTACCCCAGACATTTAAAATTAATCAAATTAATATTATCCATATATGTAAGACCTTTTCTTATTCAAGTAATCTTTTACTTTTCTAGGCATTCAATGATTTGGAATTGCTTAAATAATGATTAAAGTAATCCAAGTAAGCCATATGTCATATGCTGAAGTAAATACTAAGAGAAAATACATCTTTTACAGCCATCAGATTTGTCGATGAAATATAATGGTTGAAAAGAAATAGAAGGTTATATCAAATTAGGTATTATAACAACAATAAATCCCATTAGGAAAATATATTTGAAAATGCAGAAAGCACATCCAAGTTTTGAAAGGATGTGACTTGAGAGAGCAGAGCCATGCGAATCACCCCGTGCAGCCCTGTGGCAGATGGCAGGAGACTCATCCCCAGGGTTAGCACCACGAATAGCCATAGGTTATCAAATCACAAAAAGAAAATGTGCCACAAATAAAATGTTCCTACGGAGAATCAAGAATTGGTTGGATACAGAAGGAGGAGGAGGAAGAAGAAGAGGAAAAGGAGGAGAAAAAATGTATATGAATTTTGCTGGTTCACTAGCAGTGTGACTTGTATGTAATTTCATTCAAAGAAAATGTTGTTAAATTTAACTCACTGTTTTATTGTCGAAATAGATCGCAGAATAATGGTAGCAGCCAAAAGCCTGTACTGACATTGGACTACACATGTGGGTAGATAAATAATCTATTTCATTCTTTAAAGTTACATCATGAACTGCATATTGTTTTAGGAGTCAACTGACTCGTTACCAGCTCCCTTCACTTGGAAACCTGCCATTTCTCTTCACTCAGGCTCTGCGGGGACTTAGAGAAAACATGCTCTGGCGGGAGCCCAGCTTCAGGAGAGGCAGAGCTATGGAATGAGAAGGGGAAGCGAAAAGATGAAGGAGAGAAACAGTGACTCTAAAGAAGTCCAGGTCTTCTTGGGTTTCATATGTTGTCAGAGACCAGCTCCTCTTGTCTGAAACAATTTGCTGTTCATTCAAAAGTATAAGCCTGAATCTGTTTTCTACTAATAAAAAATGTCAAGGAATTGACTCCTGAATTAATTTAAAATAGTATTTATTGTACCCCATGTGACCTCTCCTTGTGGAGAAAAGACTTTGGAAAGTTAAGTAGTAGGATGGTAACTAAATTACTTTAAGATCAACGTTGGTAGAATAAACTGTTCTAGTTACTAGTCACTCAGTCCAAGATCCCGGGTCTCCCAAACCTAAAAGCAAACACCTACTTTTTGTTTAAATGAAAGCAGTAATTTTGTCAATGATTCTGATGTTTTCATGAAATTATGTCTGGACTTCCTGACTTTCATTACTAATTCAGAACTATGACTTTACAAAATCATTGTTGAAAAAAATTTTTGAGCATAAAAATTCAACCCGAATTGAAATCCTGGTTCAGAAAACATGAACCCAAGGGCATGCATCCACATTTACACATACTAATTCACTTGTTCTATATTCCAATCACATGCAGTGGCTTGTTATTCACTAAGGGCTCCATGCTCTTTCACACCTCAGTAGCTTTTCTGTTCCCTCTCCCTAGAATATCACTCATGCCAGCAACCCTGTCTGTAAAAATTGTGTTTAAACTCCAAAATCATTTGTCCTGTGAAGACTTCTCCAACCACCCAAACTGAGCTTTTGTCTCTCTTTGCCACACTGTCCCACAACCTAGCTCATAAGCAATTAGAATTCTGTAGTATAATCTCATTTCTGTCTCCACCTGCTGGACTATGTCCTCTTTAAGTGTAAAAAATTATGACTTATCCTATTTTAAACATTCTGAACCCAGCATGCATGATAAGCACTCAAGAATCATTTGCAGAAGAATTGGCCCAAAGGGTACAAAGTTTCAGTTATGCAAGATGCATAAATCTTAGAATTCTACTGTACAGCATAGCGCCTCTAGTTAATAATGAGACTGTATTGTATACTTAATGTTTTTGCTAGGAGGGCGGGTTTCATGTTAAGTATTCATGTCAAAAAGTAATAATAAAGCAAGAAGGAAAGGCAGGAGGAAACTTTTGGAGATAATAGATAATAGATGTTTATGGTATAGACTATAATGATGGTTTCACAGATGTATACTTATATCCAAACTCATTTTAAAAGTTAAAACAATTGTCACTTACTAAATATCTTCATCTGGTTGCCCTAAATCAAACTCTGTTCAAACCTAGTCATTTTTCTTAATTATTCATCTCCATTAATATCATAATAAGTATCTTCTTACTCAAGACTTATACCCAGGACTCATTCCTGGGAATATTCTAGACTGATATCATTCTAGATTCATATAATCTATTCCATATCCATATCCAATATATGTTATCTCATCTCACTAGTAATGCCTTAGTTCTAAACTCCATTTCTTATCTGGACTATTAAAAATGTATCTTATGTGGTCTTCCTAACTCTAATTTGGCCCTTCATTCAAATCCTCCTCTCTAAAATTAATATATTTTCCTTTTTATTGAATTTATTGGGGTAACATTGGTAAATAAAATTATATAGCCCTGGCCGAGTAGCTCAATTGGTTAGAGATTGACCTGGTGTGCAGCTGAAGTTGCAGGTTCAGTCTCTTGTCAAGAAGCAACCAGTGGATGCATAGTAAATGAAGCATCAAAACTCTCTCTCTCTCTCTCTCTCTCTCTCTCTCTCTCTCTTTCTCTCTCTCTCTCAAAAAAAAATAATTAAAAATATATTATTGAAATAAAAAATTAAATTACATATTACATAGGTTTCAGGTGTACAAAAACATGAATATATTCTTAAAAGATAAAAATTGTCCCACTTAAAATACTACCTGTCTTAGGAGACTCATTTCCTATCACTCCCACAAGCACATCTGCCCCAGCCACATTGAGGTAGTAACAGTTTCCTGATTACCACATAGTTGCCTCACAAATGTGCCTTTTTTCAAGCTGTTCTCTCTGCCTCCATTCCTTTCGTGAATATCTCTAGAATTAAGATAGATCTTCATTCAACTACAGTCCATCTGTATTTTTTACTCACTTCCATTGCTGCTCTTTGATTTAGAAGTAAAAAATGACACTAATACTTCTACTAGTACTTTGGGATCTATAAAGTATTTTTTGTGTGTAAAGTTATATGATCTTCATGGTAACCTTACAAGTGTATTATCTCCAGTTATTGTTATAGACAGTGAGTCTCTTAGATGCTCAAGTAGTTGCTGGTCTGTCCTGACTTTAAAGTTTGGTTTCTTCACTATAATAATTTTTAAAAATATATGTATATATTTTGTTGATTTCAGAGAGGAAGGGAGAGGAAGAGAGAAATAGAAATATCAATGATGAGAGAGAATCATTGATTGGCTGCCTTTTACACAACCCCTACTGGGGGTCAAGCCCACAACCCCGGCATGTGCCCTTGATCGGAATCAAACCCAGGACCCTTCAGTCCTCAGTCTGATGCTCTATCCACTGAGCCGCATCAGCTAGGGCCACTTTAATAATTTACATTCTCCTTACTTTAGACCTTTAATAGCTTACTGGTCTCCTAAAGTAATATTTTCCACCATTACAAACCATCCCATGGACTGATTTCCATCTTACCTTCCTTAAATGTCATTTTCCTTTTTTTTTTTGATCTGCTACTAAATACTATTGCATACCCTGTACTCTGGACCATTCATGGATCCACTAAGCTTATTTTTTGTGGTTTATTCACTCTTCTTAGAATGTCCCCTGGTTTCAACCATTGAGGACAGATCAAAACTAAACTTTTCCATGAAAATTTAACTACTCAAGTCATCTTCCTTTTTTCCTGTCCTTATTGTCTGAACCATGAAATTTATTCCTTAATTATTCTTCTAAACTATTTATCAAAAATAGTCTTTGCACATTTTTTTCTAATTTTTTGTCTATTATGTGCCAGACACTTTCTTGAATGCTCTGTATAGACTATTACATTGATATTTGACCATAATTTTGCAGTAGGTACTGTTATTAATCCCCACTTTATAGATGAAGAAACAGAACCTAAGTAACTAGCCCCAAGCCACATAGGTGGGAAGTGATGTGGCAAGAACTGTAACCCAAACTAACTGGCTTCAGGGTCCATCACACTAAATAAATCTATAACAAGAAATTATGAATATTGCTGGCAAATTGGTACATTGATTAGATGTCCACACATCTAATTAATGAAATCTAAAGAGCTCTGCACTTTCAGTGTCTCAATAAAAACGTGTTCACACAGTATGCTTCACAGATGATTAGGTACTGCTAGCTCATTTTGCTCAGTTTTATTATTTCTACCTGCCCCAAAATTAACTCTAATGCCAAGAGCACATCCTTAAAAG